GCCGTGGTGTCAGCACAGCTCACAGCAACCTCAAACTCCTGGGCTCAAGCGAACCTCCAGCCTCAGCCTTCCAAATAGCTGGGATTACAGGTATGCACCACCACACCCAGCTAATTTTTTCTATTTTTAGTAGAGATGGGGTCTCACTCTTGCTCACACTGGTCTCTAACTCCTGAGCTCAAGTGATCATCCCACCTTGGCCTCCCAGAGTGCTAGGATTACAGGTGTGAGCCACCATGCCCGGCCCATGGAAATGGGAAACTATTCTTAAAATGTTTTTGCATGCTTGGGAATCACTAAAGGACTACTCATATATTAGGCCTCTCAAAACAACCCAACATATAATACGAAAGTTAAAATAAGAAATCTACCCTACCTTCAGAAAATTAGGATCCTTTTTGCTCATATAAAAAGGATCATACTCTTTTGGATCATAATGTTCTATAAATGCATTTCCCTATAAGAAGGAAATAAAACCACACATAAGAACAAGAGGAGCACAATTAATTCTGAGTATATCAAGACTTGAGAGTCAAACACACAGTTCCTTTCTTATGCTTCAAAGTGGCATCAATGACAAATGCAAAAGGAAAGAAAAGACCAAATTTGAAATTATTCAAGTAATAAATATTATAGGGATGGAAGGAATCTACTTAAAATTTGTAAGATTTTAATAAAAAATATTACAACACTAAAAGATTTAAGAATTTATTTATAAATATTTACTAGTCAAACATCTCAAGTCTTTTATAATGCCAGAAGAACAGAAATACTTTATAGTTTTGCAAATAATAGAGTTCCATAACAAAAGAAAAATACGTCCTGAAACTAGAGTCCAAATTTTTTAAAATGGTAAATAAAATAATTACATGGGGAAAACAAAGAAAAATGGTTCTAATGTGCACAGTTAAATCCAGACCTACCCCTCCTCTCTATCCTTTCCACATGCCCTAGATTTAAGAATACTTTATAATAGGGTATAGATTGTATATGTATGTGTGTGTGTATATATATATATATATATATATAGAGAGAGAGAGAGAGAGAGAGAGAGAGAGAGAGAGAGAAAGGGAGAGAGAGGGAGGGGCAGGCTATTTGGATGATTATAAATAAAGATAACCATAGCTTTTAAACCAATTGAAAAAAGTATCAAATGATCTCTTAGTACCTTTTTATTTACGTGTTTTAAAAAACCTTCTAATTCCTCTTGTCTCCTTTTTTTAATCTTCTTATGTGAACAAACTTTTTCTATAATTTTCTTCTGGAGAGGATCTGCCACATGATCAACCCATCTTTTATATAATATCTCTTTTCTTCTTGCATTTAAGAAGTCATGATGTTGTAAATACTTATCTAGTTCCTAGTAAACAGTGATAGAAAAGACAAATACATTATCCTAAAGCGTTCTTGTTCTAAAATTTTCTAAAACTTAAACTTCATAAGTTTAAATTATTCCTAAGAAGAATCCACAAAGGCATTTATTAATTTAATAATTTATTTGTCTTCTACTATGTGACATATGCTATGCTGGAAACAAAGAATACACAAATAATTGAGACAACATGCCTGCTCTCCCTGGGGAAACAGACTAAAAAACGAATCGAAAGCCTGGAGCTGTGGCGTGCGCCTGTAGTCCCAGCTATTCGGGAGGCTGAGGCAAGAGGATTGCTTGGGCCCAGGAATTTAACGCTGTAGTGTACAACATTGCATCTATCCGGGTAACATAATGAGACCCCCATCTCTAAAAACAAAAAACAAAAACAAATCTACAAAACAGTGGTAGGAGGGACAATATAGCAAGATGCGTGTATATGAGACACAATATATATAAAGTAACTGAAGACATAGAGAGGAAAAAAACCATTTTCTAGCTTCTTAAAAGATTCGCCGTTTGGTGGTTCCTCAAAAAGTTAAACAGAATTACCATATGACACAGGAGTTCCACTCCTAGGTATACACTCAAAGGAATTAAAAACAAGGACTTTCCAGTAAGACTGATAGCTTCTCAGAAGAAAAAATAAATAAATAAACAGGGGTGCAGTGGCTCACACCTGTAATTCCAGCACTTTGGGATGCTGAGGTGGGAAGATTGCTTGAGGCCAGGAGTTCAAGACCAGTCTGGGCAAAAAAGTGAGACCCCTATCACTACAAAAAAATTTTTTTTAAATTAGCCAGGCATGGTGGCACATGCCTGTGGTCCCAGCTACTCAGAAGGCTGAGGCAGGAGGATGGCTTGAGCGCAGGTGTTGGAGGCTGCAGTGAGCTATGATGACACTACTGCACTCTAGCCTGGGCAACAGAGCAAGACCGTGTCACAAAAACAAACAAACAACAACAATAAAAAGCAGGGACTCAGATATTTATACACAAATGTTCATTTCAGCATTATTCACAATAGCCAAAAGGTGGGAACAACCCAAGTGTCCATCGACAGATGGATGAACAAAATGTGGTATATACATACTATGGAATATTATTTGGTCTAAAAAAGAAATGAAGTACTGATATATGCTACAATGTGGACGAACCTTGGAAACAAATAAGCCAGACACCAATAGACAAATGTAGGATTCCACATATATGAAACATCAGAATAGGCAAAATTCATAGAGACAGAAAGTAGATAAGAGGTTACCAGGTACCTGGAGGATGAGGAAATGAGGAGTCATTGCTTACTGAATACAAAGTATCAGTTTGGGGCGATGAAAAAGTTTTGGAAATAATGGTGATAGTTGTATAACATTGTGGATGTAATTAATGTTACTGAATGGTACACTTAAAATGGCAAATTTTATATTATATATATTTTACCCTAATTTTTTAAGTGATTAAATTAAAACAAAAAAAGATTCCCAAAATGGGCAACATTTGGGCTAGGCTTTAAATAATGACGAGTTATCCTGGAAGAGAAGGGATAGCAGAGAATGAGGAAGAAAAACATTCTATGAGGGGAAAAAAAGACAAGAGTAGACAGGCAGAAGAGTAACACAATGTGGTCCACATGGCAAGTAGCCTGCAAAGAAGCCTGATTAGGCTACAAGCAAGTTCATTCTCACCCAAACTGCTCATCTGCCTTTCCTATAGCAAATGAAATCATGTGATTACTAGGATCTACATGAAATTCAAAATGAGAAAAATAAAATGTTACGAACCCTGAGGGGTTCTCTAGGCCACGTCCCTACCTAACTTCAGGTTGTATCAACTTCAACCATTCAACCATTCCCAATAATAGTTCCTTTCCTTTTTAAAGAACTCTAATGAAAATTCTTAAAAGAAAAAACAGATCACTCACTCCAGTATTCAGTATATTCACATGGCTGTTCTTGTCTAATTAAGCCCATCCTGCTTAAACCCTTGTTCTTACCTATGTATACCTGTGTAATAGGTAGTCGGTGTGTTCCGAAAACAGCTCTTCAGGATTAGCTCATTAATAGCAACTCTGTGGAAACCCACTAAGTCAAAGGAACAAGTGAGTTGAGGGAAATTCTTATGCCTGTCTGTGAAGGAATTCCCACAAAGTATAGGAAGAGAGGAAGTCCATCAAACCAATCTCAGAGATCCCTTAAGATTAATCCCAGGCGCAAATGAGTATTTTTAATTCTTTCTATTTTCTGTATTTTCTACATTTATTTATAGAATGCACTTCATCTAAAGGGGAAAAACAAAATTTAGTTTCTTTCTTTTTTTTTTGGATGGAGTCTCTATTGCCCAGGGTTGGAGTGAAGTGGCTATTCACAGGTGCAATCACAGCTCGTCACAGCCTCAGATTCAGCGGTCTCAAGCAATCCTTCCACCCCAGCCACCCCAGTAGCTGAGATGACACCACTGTACCTGGCTGACAAAATTTAATTTTTAATTGAGAGGCATTTTGTAGCCAATTCTTACCTTAATTATATAATTTTCTCTGTATAATACTGATTGAATAGCTGCATCAGTATCTTCTTTAGCTAAGTTCTAAAAGAAGAGAATTAGACTATGAAAATCAAATCTTGAAAAAAATTAAATAATTAGTACTATCTGGACTCATTATTTTATTTATTTATTTATTTATTTTTTTGAGACAGAGTCTTGCTCTGTTGCCCGGGCTAGAGTGCTGTGGCATCAGCCTAGCTCACAGCAACCTCAAAGTCCTGGGCTCAAGCAATCCTCCTGCCTCAGCCTCCCGAGTAGCTGGGACTATAGGCATGCGCCACCATGCCTGGCTAATTTTTTTCTATATATTTTTAGTCGTCCAGCTAATTTCTTTCTATTTTTAGTAGAGACGGGGTCTCGCTCTTGCTCAGGCTGGTCTCGAACTCCTGAGCTAGAATGATCCACCCCGCCTGCCTCGGCCTCCCAGAATGCTAGGATTACAGGTGTGAGCCACCGCGCCTGGCCCTCTGGACTCATATTTTATGTGAAAAACATATCCCTGAAAAACTCTCTGTAAATCCAGTTTTTCTGCCAAATCACATCAAGTCCTTTTTAAAGAGTGCTTGACTCCCTGCTCTCAGCTACAGCAAAACACAGATATTTTGAATCTTAGAATGGTCAAATTAATCACATGGTAGTTAGAACCCACAATTTGTCAAATCTTATAAAATGTTTTTACCTTTAGGGGTTAAAATAGATACAATTAGGCCTCTATTTGAGGCTTTTTAACTACATAAGAAAGACTGATCTTCCCAGCCTATATTCTTACAGGACTAGCTAAGAATATGTCAACAGTCTCTCTGAAAGCTTAGTGCCACCTAAGGCAAACTGTGTACCTAGAAGAAATGTCACTAATGTAAAATAATACAAGGTTTTAGAAAGAGTTTCTATTCAATTTTCTGTTCTTCCATAATGAATTCACTACCAATTTTGTTTTTGAAAATTACTTAAAACAGAAGCTAAAATATAAAGACTATGGATGTAAGAATCAAGGAGGCCAGGCATGGTGGCTGACGCCTGTAATCCTAGCACTCTGGGAGGCCGAGGCTGGAGGATCGCTTGGGCTTGAGAGTTGGAGACAACCCTGAGCAAGAACGAGACCCCGTCTCTACTAAAAATAGAAAGAAATTAGCTGGACAACTAAAAATACATAGAAAAAATTAGCCGGGCATGGTGGTACATACCTGTAGTCCCAGCTACCTGGGAGGCTGAGGCAGAAGGATTGCTTGAGGCCAGGAGTTTGAGGTTGCTGGGAGCTAGGCTGATGCCATGGCACTCCAGCCCGGGCAGCAAAGCGAGACTGTGTCTCCAAAAATAAAAAAAATTAAAAAAAAAAAAGAATCAAGGAAAATAGTTATATTTTTATCCATAAACTTTATAATCAAACAGGTGATTGGATCTTCTCAAAATGAAAGCTCTTATTGAAATAAAAAGAAACTTGCTCTTAAAGTCTTCTTACACTCATTTAATTAAGTTTTCCATGACAATTGACAAACTACCTGAAAGACTGAAACAACTTTTCTCATTAGGTAAATGCTAAACACTGTATGCCTCTGGAAAACTACCCAGAGAAACAATGAGCAAGGAAATACATAAAAGAATTAGAGAATCAATCCCTAGATGTCACACAGCCCCAGGAGTGTTCCCTTTAACAGGAGCCAAGGTAAAACATCGCATAGTTCACAGAGCGTAGAGTTGAGCACTTGGAGGGATTTTGTATTAGAACTAGAACAAAACTGGCCCCACAGTAGATGCTGCTGTGGTCCTGCCTAACAAAATTCAGAGTCAAGACTTGAAAGGATCCAGCTGTGTCCAACTAACTTAACTGCATTCCAGAACAAAAACCGGGAATATTTGTGGGAAATAAAAAACATCTAGCACTTGACAAGGTTAAAATTCAGAATGTCTTGCATCCAATCAAAAAATCACCAGGCATGCAAAGAATCAGGAAAATTTAACCACTAATTAGAAGGAAAATCAATCAAAACTGCACCAGAAATGACACAGATGATATAATTATTAAACCAGGACATTAAAATAGTTATTATACCTGTAGTTCACAAGTTCAGGAAGCTAGAGGAAAAAGTGAACCTGTTGGGACAGAGGAAGATAAAAAACGGACGCAAATAAAACTTCTAGGGATGAAAATTACAATGCCTGAGATGAAGGATACACCAGATAGGCTTATCAGCACATTAGACATTACAGAAGAAAAGGTTAGTGAACTTAAAAGCACAGTAATAGATGCTTTCCAAACTAAAATACAGGGGGGAAAAAACTGAAAAAAATTAAGAGTATCAGTGAGCTATGGGACAACGTCAGGCAGGCTATTATACATGTAATTATACTTCCCGAAAGGAAGGGTGGGATAGAAAAAAATATTTTAAGAAATAATGGCTGAAATTTTTCTAAATTTGTTAGAAACTATAAGCCCGCAGATAAAAGAAGTTCAAAGAACTCTAAGCAGTGGAGAAATTAGGACCCTCATACATTGTCAACGAGAATTTAAAATAGTACAGCTGCTGTGGGAAAGTTAAGTCAGCTCCTCAAAAAGTTAAACATAGAGTTACCCATATGACCCACAATTTCATTCCTAGGTTTTATACCCTAGAGAATTAAAAACATATTCTCACATAAAGAGTTGTACACAAATGTTCAGAGCAGCATTATTCATATTAGCAAAAAAACTAGAAACAACTTAAATGTCTATCCACTGATCAATGGATAAACAAAATGTGGTATTCATACAGTGGACTATTATTTGACCATAAAAACGAATGAAGTACTGATACATGCTACAACATGGATGAACCTTGAAAACATTATACTAACTGAAAACAGTCACAAAGGACTGCATATTGCATGATTTCATTTGTATAAAATGTCCAGAATAGGCAAATCTGTAGAGACAGAAAGTAGATTAGTGTTGCCAGTTGCCAGGGGGAGAGGGAAATGGGGAATGACTATTAAGGGGTTATGAGGTTTCTTTCTAGGGTGATGAAAATGTTCTGGAATTAGATAGTGGTGACAGTTGCACGACTTTGTAAATATACTAACAATGAATTGTACACTTTAAAATAGTGAATTTCATGGTATGTAAATTATCTCAATAATAAAAGCCCAACAATAAGGAAAAAAAAAGTTTAAAATTGCCAATTTAAAAATGGACAAGAGACTTGAACAAACACTTCACCAAAGAAGATTTATAAATGGCGAGTAAAACTTGAAAAAATGGTCAACATCATTAGTCATTACGGAAATACAAATTAAAACCACAATGAGGCCGGGTGACACCTGTAATCCTAGCACTCTGGGAGGCTGAGGCAGGAGGATCACTTGAGCTCAGGAGTTCGAAACCAGTCTAATCAAGAGCAAGACCACGTCTCTACTAAAAATAGAAAAATTAGCTGGGTGCCATGGTGCATGCCTGTAGTCCCAGCTACTCAGGAGGCTGAGGCAGAAGAATCACTGGAGCCCAGGAGTTTGAGGTTGTAGTAAGCTGTGATGACACCACTGCATTCTACCCAGGGTGACAGAGCAAGACTTTGTCTCAAAAAAAAAAAAAAAACACAATGAGATGCCACTTTATATCTTTTACAATGTCTCAAATTTAAAAAGACTATACCAAATGTTGGCTAGAATATGAAACAACTAGAAATCCCATACACTGCTAGTGGGAATGAAAAATGATTCAATGACTTTGCAACACAGTTTGGCAAGTTCATAAAAAGTTAAATTCATTTACCATGTGACCCAGCCATTCTACTAGATATCTACCCAAGAGAAATGAAAGCATGTCCATACAAAGACATGTACATGAACATTCAGAACGGCTTTATGTGTAATAGCCAAAAACTGGAAAACAACCCAAATGTCTATCAATAGGACGAACAAACTGGGATATAGCTATATAATGGAATGAAGTATTGATACATTCACCATCGATGAATTGCAAAATACTTATTCTGAGTGAAAGACGCCAGACAAAAAGAAAAGAATACATACTATTAGATTCCATTTCTATAAAATTTTTTAAATGACAAAGCAAAGCAGTGGTTGCAGAGAATGGGGAGGACAAGAAGGGAGGGATTGCAAAGCAACAGGATGATTAGGAAAGGGAGTGTTGAGTATGTTCATTATCCTGATCATGGTGATGGTTCTGTATACATATGTAAAACCTTACCAAGTTTGTACACTTTAATGTATGCAGTTTATTGTACATCAATTATACATTAGTAAGACTTAGAAAAACGAAATTACAATCTAAAACCAATACAACATATCAAATTTTGAGTGATGCAGCTAAGCAGTGTTTCAAGAGAAACTTATAGCTGTGTTATATTAGAAAAAGCATATAGTAAAAGATCTATGATTCCACTTTAAGAAGCTAGAAAAATGAACAGCAAAGTAAATAGAAAGTTAGTAGAGCAAAGGGGATTATAAAGAGAATGAAATAGAAAACAAGCAACAGAAAAACATATATTTAGCACAAGCCATTTCTCACTGCAACTACACAAGGAAAAATCTCAAAATGCCATATTATTATACCTCCATAAAAGAAAGCCGCTGTGGTTCCAACCATTCTTTCGAGTTCTTGAGCTTGGGCAGTGTGCCATTTACCAGATCATCACCATCTGCATTTTTCATTGTGGTCACAAATAACAGAGCCCTTTAAAAAAAAAAAACTAAAAATTAACTTATTTGGTAATCAAAATTCATAATCATCTAATTTTCTCTTCTGTTTAATAATCAATAGTTGTGACATTGAACGGACTTTGAGTGGGTTTTGAACATTAGCCGTCCATGCTTTCCCTACCAAGAGGCCATGGCAGCAGGCTTATGATGGTTTCAAAGCCAGATCTCTTTCAACTAATCCCGGAGGCCCTTGGAGTGGCTGCCCATGTCCTCCTAGGAGGTATCCCATTGAAGCCAGCGTGGCGATGGGCCTCCAGGAGACTCGTCGTCTGACTTTGGTGGCGGTGAATAGGGCGAGTTGCGACTATCTGGCACAGAAACCAGGCCGTGCAGCTTAGAGAAGGAAGGGAGGGGCTTTCGGTCAAAAGCGGGCGCAAGGCCCTCCCCAAGGCCTGTCCCCGAGGGGGAAGCCGTCGTTAGAGGCTGCGCCCTTCTATTCCGCAGTGCCCGCTCCCCGAGTCGGCGGGAGGCGCGCGGCCTCCACCCCCGACACTGCGCCGAGGAACTCGCGCGGCCGCGGCGTGCGCGGGGACCACCCCGGCCCGGCTGGGAGCTTGCAGGCCGCGACACACCTCTCTCCCTCTCGAGGCCGCCAAGGCCTTCGGCTCTCCTGCCCCACACCCGGGCCGGCCCCACGGCCCAAGACTCCGGAGTCGTCCGGCTGTGGCGGGAAGGGGGCCGTGCGCGGCCCGCGCTCAGCTCGAGCCCGTCACTTAGGAATGTGGGAACGTTGGCGACCAGTGTCTCCGGGACGCAGTCCCGCGCCGCCCCTCCCCCCTGGAGTTAGACGACCAGTCTGTGCGCGGCTCCGCGGGGGCGGCCTGGCCCTGAGCCACGCGCTACTGCGTCCCTATCGCCCCCTCGGGCTCAGGAGGAATCCGGCGCTGCTGCTGCCAGCTCTGGGCTGCGGGTCGTGGTTACGAAGTGGGGTGACGAGCAGCTGTCACGGCCAATCCCGCCGCCTTGCCCTCCCCCCGTCCGTTGACAGGCGGGTCCCCGGCACGCCAGTCCCTCGCGGAGGCCGGGCTCCGGGACCGAGAGTGGGGCCGCGTCCGCTCCCTCGAGTCCTCGGTGCTTTGCGTGCGTCTCCCCGGCCGACAGACCGGGAAATTAACCGCTCACACACCCCGGCCCCGCTCTCAGTCCTGCCCGGGGGACACCCCTCCTCCTGTGGGCCACACACCGCGAAGGGAGTGGCGGGAAAGGGGCTCCGGTGGCGGTTGTCCTGTTGAGGACGGTCCAAGACTTGGGGATCTGTGCAGAAAATGTTGGGTTAAGTGCCTTAAAGGTGTTTTTAGTCCACTGGCGTGATGATCAGTGTTCGCAGCCGGCGCTGAAGCAGGTCAGCAGGAAGGGAATGTGAGGATTCATGACCCAGCACATCTCGTTAGTCTTGTTTACTTAGCCAGGCGGTTCTCCTTCCTGGCTGGGTTTTGTTTTGTTTTGTTTGTTTTTAAATCCCAGATAATTCTAACGCAAACCATTGACATGGCGAGCAGATTAGGAGGCTGCGATTTTCCAAACTCAACTTCATAGCCCTGTGTGCACTGTGATTTTTCTAGGATTCTATTTTCCTCTTTGAGTATTGGTGGACGCTAGATGATGGGCCACCATTTTCACTTTTCATCTTTTCAAAGTACACATGCTAATATTAAAACTGAAGCGTTTTAGAGACATTTGTATTCACATGCCTTGCCTTTTAAAAGCTAGCCAAAGTGGATCTCTTCAACTGCAGTTTCCATTTCAGAGATGAGCTGGGCATGAGCCATTTGCAGAGCTTACTGTTAGATACACTCCTGGGAACCAAGCATGTGGACAGTGCAGCCCTCATCAAACTCCAGGAGCGGAGCCTGTGTGTAGCATCACCAGGATTTAGTGTAAGAAAACACAAGTTTGGGTATCAGGCTTTTTTTTTTTTTCTTTTTGAGACAGAGTCTCGCTCTGTTGCCCAGGCTAGAATGCCATGGTGTCAGCCTAGCTCACAGCAACCTCAAACTCCTGGGCTCAAGTGATCCTCCTGCCTCAGCCTCCAGAGTAGCAGGGACTACAGGCAT